ACAAAAATCATCTGCTAGTTCTCCTGGCTGGCTGGACCATGTATTGGGTTTTTTGTTTCTTAACTACTCATTAAAAAAACAAGATTTGCATATTTTTTGATTCAATAAATATCTGTTGTAAGCAAAAACTATGGTGGCTGTTGTCCTTCTTTCCTCTAAATAAGCTGCAGTAATAAAATGTATTATCTTCCTGGAATCACTATATTGTACTTTTAAAACTAATATGACACTGTATGTTAACTACACTGGAATTAAAATAAAATAAAAGAAAAAAGAAAAAAATTATTCTCCTCTCTCTCCTCTTTTAGGCAGTGTGCTGAGTATTTATGCAATGAAGTATTGGCCAAAAACTGTAACATGGGATGAGTTTTGTTGCAATGGAACAAAATTCACTGGAAGGTAGGGAATATGTAGAAGAAAATAAAGCACATCTATTCTCTGTCTCTCTTTGTCTTTGTCCCTCTGGGTCTCTTTCCTTCTGTGTCTCTCCCTCTTCCCTCAAGCCTCCCCTAAAGGAAGATATCTTTATCTTTATCTCTCTATCCTAACAAACCACCCATAGAAGTAGAGGAAAATAGAAATAAAGTCCTCAAACTAGGATTCAAGCTCTTTGACATCCCTTCCCACAAAGTCAACCTTTTGATGACCAGATAGACTACTGCTCCTACTTCCATATTTATTTGTTTGTTAAATGAAGGTTTGAAAAATAGAAACAGAGGTTTTAAGGGACAATGACTTCATATGGAAGGACTTGTACTAGAGCAATGTCTTTGACCTTTCTCAGTCCCCCATCTCTCACTCCTCTCCAGGGAAGGAGGAATGACATACGCCTGATGAATTTAGGAAAAGTCATTGGTACGCTTGTTCAACTTTTGCTTTAGAACTCTCTCCATGCAGAGAGTATATATCCTGCTAGTTCTATGCAATATGTCATTTCAAGCGTAGGGGTGTGTGTGTGTGTGTGTGTGTATGTATATATAAGCATGTATTTATATATGTGTAAAAGAGTGGGAGGGAGAGAATCAGAGAGAGAGAGAGAGAGAGAGGAGAGATGGAGGTAGGAAGAGGCTGTCTGTGGTTGCCCAGGTATACCAGACACAGGGGGATTTGTTTATTTAATCCAAGGAAAGACTGCCCCACTTTGTCCACAATTTTCATCCTTCTTCTTCAAAGAGCTTTATGAGTAACAAGAAATAGTTTTTTCAATTTGTCTGATTCCTGTGCCTGTTTCTCGATGGGTTCTAAAATTACTTCTACTTTATTTGGTATAAAATTCAGAAAAATATCCCAGAATTTGAAAAGGAATATTAGCATATGAGAAAATATGAAATTTTCAAGAATCTTATTACACTTTACTCTTCTACCCTCAATGTTTTAAAATTGTGTGCATTTGTGACTTGTCTTTTTTATGAATAACAGCTGGATCATGTTTAATTTTATATCTTATAAGGTTTCAAACAACTTCATGATTATTACCTTATTGAAATTCCTCTGCAATGGCCAAATAATTTCATAAAATAATGTCATCAATCACGCCACATTTCTAGATATTTTTGGGCTAGGAAAATTGCACATGAGGGATAATACTTATTAATTTCACCTGGTTAAAATTCATGAACACTAAGTCTGGTGTATCACCTGAGAACCCTCCAGCTGCCAGTATGCTCCTACTGATTAGAAAAGTGGCAGAGTCATTCTTTATAAGCATCTATGGAATATTTAGTATATGCTTAGCAGTGTGTTAGTCACTAGATAAATAAAGATTAAAAAAAAACTCAACATGGTTTCTGTCCTTAAAGAATTCAAACTAAAGGTTCAGTGTAACGGATTGGTGATTTTATGTATTAAACTGATTAACCACCCCATCTGTCTACTTCAATTGGGTTATAATTATGAGAGTTCACAGAACATACTCAACTAATGTTTTAACTGATGACAAATGTCATTTCAAACTTAGTTTACGACTATAATTTTGTAAAAAGGGTATTTAAAGTAGTGTAATCTATGTGTATATGTACATATATTGTACATGTGTATATGTACATGTAAAAGTTGGAAAACACAGCTCTACCTATTTAAAATAATTCTCTGAAGTAGGTAAAAATTAATATTTAATGAGCTTTATGATTATAGAGGTGGCAAAAAATGAAATCCTTCAAAGTGAACAGAACAATTAAATTGTGAAATAGCAAATTTTACTAAAGGAGAATTTGTGGGTATCAGAACTGTTCTTTATTGCAAGCGCTATCTAGTTTTGCTACTCAGACAAAGCATGAGAAACAACAGAAGTAAGAGTATGAAGGGAATTTGGTTTCATTTCCATCTCCAATGGACTTGTTAGAATACACATGACTAAGTCGATGTATTAGGTAAGCATTATTTAAGGCATAGATTGCTCCTATACTTCCCTAAATATGTAAAGGAGACATGATCCATAGGCAAGTACTAGATTGTGTATATGTGTGCATGTGTAAGTGTGTGTATATTTCTGCATGTGTGTATATAAATATAATTCATGTGTGAAAATATATATGATATCAATCTTATATATATATCCATCTATCCACTTACCTATCTACCTATCTACTCCTCCATCTGTATTTATTTATATTTTTCCGACTTTACAGTTCACATTAATAATATGTTGAGTTCTAAAATTTTACTCTTTTTGAGATAATATCTTAACTTGTATTTTCTGTACATGTAGATATTAATACTTCATGGTTACAAAGTTCTTTTATAATTTAAGCATTTCACATATATAGTATGTCATCTGCTCTTCCCTAAAATCTCCAGAGACATTAAAATGATGCTACCAACTTCAAATAAACCAAGACTTGAGATCACATGACTTTTCTGAAAAACACACCACCTGAATCTTCCCTCATTACCAGGATCTAGGGCAGATGATTTCAAATCAAAAGTTCAGGAGGTTGCATGGCCTCTAGAAAAGACGTTAAGCTTTGGAGCAATTGTACCTGGACACAACTTCCATTCTTTGCCTCACAAAACTGGATTGCTCCTCTGTAGATTTTCAGATTCTTTGTATGCAAACCAATGCAGGGATATCCACCTTGCTTCTTGTAAGCATTGGAGTTGGTTTGTCAAAGTGCCCAGGTGAGTGTCTAGTACTTTGTAGGAGCTGAATACACCAAGACTGCTTTTTATTCTACAATACCATGCATCTGATTCATGCATGCCAGTCAACAAAGGCATATACACATTGGCTGTCAAATTATTGATTGAATGATTTCTATGGAATTCACAATTTGAGATCAATTCTTCTATTTCACAGAGTGTTTCTGTTTCTGTCCATTATCAGATGACCTGCACTCACAGAATGCAAACTCATTTAAATATTACTATACAAAACACTGAATTTAGATAGTAAAAAATTTCTGGAAAGAAATGATATTATGTATTAATAAATTCATAAGGTTTGACTTATGATTTACTTAATACATGCAATTATTCCCATTCATTACTGTGGATTAACAAGAATCAAATATGGACATTATTAAGATTAAGTAAACAAAGTCGAATGTCTACAATTAGGGAAAAATAAAATTCATTAAAATTAAATTCATTAGGAAATTTTTGGTTAATCTTAATTCTGAAATATACTGGTCTGAGTTGACAGTTATTAATAAAAGGAATTTGCATTTCATAGTCTTATATTTTATATTATGAAACAAAGCTATATATTATATTCTGTGTATATATATAAATGTATTTTAATTTTGACAGAAATAAGGTTCAGTGAAGCCAAATATCATCAATTACCAATATACACATAAATATATGTTATTAAATGTAGTATTTGTGGGTAACCAGCATATATTGACATGCATGTGAGTATTTCTGTGTGACACACATTATATCTATGTATCTGTGCATATATATATATGTATATATTAATAACAGGAATAAGGCTCTGAGTAGTCAAATAATCATCAGGTCAATTACTATTACTGATTTGGTAAGTAAACATATTAGCATTTGGTTTTCAGATTTTCTTAATATGATATTTTTTGTTTCCTTGATAATCAAATATATTTACTTCATCAATATGGGTTATTATTATATGAGTTAAATCTCCATCCACAAGCAAGAATCTTCTTTAGGTTTTTTTTTTTTTTTTAAGAATTATACGTATTTGTGAGTGACAGTAAAAAATTAAAAGAAAACATAAACGCAACAAAAGTTAAAGTTTTTTAACTAAACATCATCCCTGTCAATGTTCAACTTTCCAGCTGACTCATGAATATATTTGTTATAAACTCCACAATGTTTACTCAATGTTTATTCATTGATGGAGTCCTTCCCAATTGTCAGGATGAAATGACAACAGTCTCCAATAATGACAATGGCTTGCACTTGTAAAATACCAAGCAAAATTTATTTGTGCTCAAAATATTCACACATCATATTTTGTGAATAATTCAATGATGTGTGGGAACAGAGGGGCTATTTTTGAAAAATTTGGCCCCCTTAATCTTTTGCAAGTAATTAATTTTCTCTGGTGCAATAACACTTTCATTTTTTCAATGTCTTAATGTCAAAATGCAGTGAGAAATTTGATAACTATGTGACACGGCTTATCATTTCTGAAGTACTAAAATGTTAAAGAATATAATTTAAAAATGTATGGTATTTTGAAGTAAGTCTTATATACTATTTAATGCAGATTTGTGCTAATCATGATATATAGTGTAACGCCTATAGATAAAACTGAGTAACAAATTTTGCTCAGGCCTTGTCCCCATTAGACAAGGAATTCTTTCATTTTAATAGCAGAAACCGTAAAAACCCAAACCCTAGGAACTGGGCGGTTTAGCACTGACTTATAAAAATTAGCTTTCTGTCACATCACTTTTTCCTTCAGGCATTTTCTCAGAGATTTTGGCTGATTTGATTATAAAGCAGAAGGTTAAATTCTCACACAGTGATCATTAGGAAAAAATAAACAGAGCAAGTACTAAAGCTGGCTTTGCACCTACTGAATGCTGCAAGTGTCTGTACTCATTTGATATGCATCTTGCAAAGCTCGGCTGTTCCCAGAAGGCCACTCCATGAAGACTGAGAGAGCAGCGTCTGCTAGTGGTGCCTGTGCGTCACAAAGAACAGAGAGAAGCTTTATAACAGAGATGCTAGAAGGCATCACATAACTGGGAGGCAGGCTAAAGAACTGGGTTTGTACATTTTCCTGCCTCAAAAAACATGCATATGAAAATATTACGCTGATGATTTTTATAGTGCATGTGAATCACACTGAGAAACCATTGCATTAGCAGGAATTTCTAGGTCTCTTCATTGGCTCCATCTATGAAGCACTTTACTAAAATTGCTTTATTAATTGCTTATTGGAGAGATTTATTTATGGATATAGGATAAAAGCATGACTTCAGAAGCAAACATAGCATGCTGTTCGTGGATGGCGATCATAATTCTGTTGGGTGGGTCATCATACTTTACCTGTGGCATTCGGCGGGCACTGATTGAATGCCAGGTTGCCTGCCGGGGTCCTTTTCCACACCATCGACATCAGATAATCCTCTGGGCATATTTCATAAGGTGCTGCAATTTAAAACAGAGGGATTTGAATGCCAGCAGTGTTTGTTTTTCTAAATATTGGCAATAAATAGTCCTCAAATGCATCTATCTGCAGAGCTCTTTCATTTTCTTTAAAGTATATCGTTTACTGAGATGTTAGCGATGTCTTCATAAACCAAAAAACCACCACATCTCATTATCTATGAAATCGTCACAAAAATGTTCTTTCTTTTGAAAGTGCTTACTATGGAGACTTTTTTAAAAAGTCATTTGAATTTGCTTATGAATTGAACATTACATTCAAGCCTATAAATCAAAAATCTTTCCAATATTCATGTTTTGAAATATTGTGCAATAAAATGATTTCCAATAAACTGAAAACCATATTTGAATTATTAACTCTAAGTGTTAAGAGGAAATAAACACAAAGGGCAAGAATATGTAACTTTTTATTCTTCATACAAGAGCAATGATGTCAATCACACGACATCATATAAAAATGAACTGATTTGATCTTTTGGCCTTTGTATTTTCAAAAACTCAATTTAATTACTGAGATGAGAAAGTTATAGGGAATTCCAAGAATAACAGAGGTATACCAGAAATATTTTAATAGGAGGCCAAAGGACTTGTGAAGTCTGTCTATACCGTGTTTTGCATTAAACCTCACACCTTTCTCCTAGAAAGAACACACCAGTCCTTTCTCTAGACACACCTACTCTTGTGCCTTTCACACAGCACTGTCACGTATATGCTCACATATTTGTGTTCCCTAGTTGCCTGGCATCTTGTTATCTTCTCATCCCAGGATCTCCCACCTAATGGTTTGGCGCACAGAAGTTGTTCAAAATTGAATAAATAAATGAATCAATATTTGATATATAAATACTTTTAGTAAGTAAATAAGGACCAAAAAAATAAGTACCTAATATATATATATATATATACATACATATATGAGTGTGACTTCCAGGGAGAGACAATATACTATTTAATGCATGATAATCATAATCTACAGATACTGATTCTTACTTCAGAATTTATGAGCTCATTAGGATACATTATAATTACCAGCGGGGAAGAATACAATTTGAGAAACTACAATCTTGAAATAATATTTTCTTTATCTGGGATAGCAGGGCTGGAAGCATCTTCTCTTCGTGGGGTGGGGATCAGACAAAATGGGCAAAGTGGTTCCCAGCTGGCTAGTCTCCATGGTCAGTGTGGAAGTGGGTGGTTGCAGGTGCTTGGCTGGTGGTAACTGCGGCATCCCTTAATCTATTTTTCCGCTGTTTCTATTCTTGCGATATTGGAGGAGGGAGTCCTGTGGAGGGGCTGTCCCTACCTTTGCATGAGTTGTACCATTTTTTTGTGATTTTTAAAAAATTTTATTATTTTATATTTTTGATTTATGGTGACTCCACCTCTATTCATCACCACCACTCCCAGGCCAGACTCAGTGGCAAATCCTGCTCTTGGTTCCTGGGAAAGGGCCAGGCCAGCCTGAGCCCTCCTGCCCCCTGTAACAGCCTGGACAGGTTGAAGGGCCCTGAAGGGCACACTTGACTCCTGAGGGGGGAGGGGTGGTGATGACTCCCCCTAACCCCTTCCTCCTCCATTTGTTCACTTCTATACTTGGTTTTCCTCTGGTACCATCATGTAGTAAAAAGAATGTTTAGAATCTGAAAATTAATAATAATAATAATAATAATAATAATAATAATAATTCACCTCGCTGTTGCCTGTTTTCCCATATGGTAAAAGAGACTACTAATCTCTACCTCATAAGATTATTGGGGAATATTAAATGAGTCCATGCATGTAAGACTTTTAATAAGGGCTCACTATTATTACTATTATTAATACATAGAAATTATCTAAGGAAAGCATTTAACAAAGGAAAAAGCCGGGCATGGATGATTCTGCGAAGGGCACAGGGACCAAGGAGCAAGGACCAAGAAAGAACTGTCCAAGTCCCTTGTGGAGGCCTGAGAGAGAATAGCTTTCTAGGACCCCAAAGAAAGTGGTCTCAAGGAGGAGGGAGAAGTCAGAGCATAAAGCCCCATGGAGACAGTCCAGTGAGTAATGCCTGAGATGAGCACATTAGGTTTGGCCTTTAGGAGATCACCGGTGGGGTAAGGTGGACACATTTTATGAAAATGGGGCTGGTGAAGGTTGAATTGACTGCTAAACCATCCACCAAGTGAAGATTCCCTAAATTGGAATCTGTTGTCTAAGTATTTTAATGCGAACCTAGACTATTAACTCAGCATGAGGGCATTTATCTTGAATAATTGGAAGTAGCCAAGAGAATATGCAGGAAGTCAAAGCAAAGGCTACTGAGTCAGGATTCTAGAATCTAGTCCTGCAGATACCTCCAAGCTCGGTCACCTCAGATAAGCCTCTTATTTGAGGGCCTTGGTGCTCTCGTCTGTAAAGAGGAAGGATGTGAAATAGGTGATCTTCAATGTCACTTTCAGTTCTAAAATGTCCACATGTTTAAACCATTCCTCTTATCTTGTCTTATCTGTCCAGGCTGTTACAGGGGGCAGGAGGGCTCAGGCTGGCCTGGCCCTTTCCCAGGAACCAAGAGCAGGATTTGCCACTGAGTCTGGCCTGGGAGTGGTGGTGATGAATAGAGGTGGAGTCACCATAAATCAAAAATATAAAATAATAAAAATTTTTAAAAATCACAAAAAAATGGTACAACTCATGCAAAGGTAGGGACAGCCCCTCCACAGGACTCCCTCTTCCAATATCGCAAGAATAGAAACAGCAGAAAAATAGATTAAGGGATGCCGCAGTTACCACCAGCCAAGCACCTGCAACCACCCACTTCCACACTGACCATGGAGACTAGCCAGCTGGGAACCACTTTGCCCATTTTGTCTGATCCCCACCCCACAAAGAGCAGATGTTTCTGGCCCTGCTACCCAGTCCAACCTCCTGCTATGTAGCCAAAGAGGCCAGGGCAGTGTCTCCTGAGAGGAGGGGTGACAGTGTCAGGAAGAAAAGGCAAAGCCCAGAGATGAGTCTGTGAGAGGGAGGTTAGTCACTGCTAGGCAGCTAGGTGGCGCCCAGATTAATGACTATGAAGGGGAAAGAGTAGGAAGAAGGAAAAGTTAGCACATGTTGGAGCCACAGTAAGAATTCGATCAGTTTGGCTTCTGCTCCCAACTCTTACTTGCTATGTTGCAGTCAAGCCTTGATACACACCCTCTACCCAGTTGTGTATTGGCAACACATATGTGTTTCTTTGGTTCAGATGTCTTTCTTGAGCTTTAGACTGGCACATCCAACGGCTGAGTGACGTTTTTTACTGATTGTTCTCTCTGTTCCAAAGAAATCTCGGAGTGAATCTGCCCACACTTCAACTCCTACCATTTTTCTCCCTAATGCTGCTTGTTTCCTCTCCTTATATTCCCTAACTCTGTTAATGATACCTCTAATCTTATACCCATAACTAAACCCATCAGATTCATCTTCTATTTATCCTCCTCTTCCCTTAACTTACCATGATTCTAACTCCATTGCTTACCCAAGCATCCATTCTGTCCCATCTGAATGAGGGGAGCAACCTCACTGGTTCATTCAGCATTGACCTGACACGTGCTAGGCTCTGTTCTAGGGAAAATCAATGGTGCATGACAGCAGCGCTCTCTGCCTCATGGAGCTTTCAGTCAACCAATTAAACATACCATTACTTGAGTGCAACTACGATAAGCTCTGCAATAGTTAATACAGAATGTTATTTCAATCTAAACTTTGAAGAATGGAAACAGGCTTCCTGGAGGAAGCAACACTTAACTGTGACTGACTGTGTGAAGGGCAGCAAGCGCTCTAGGCAGAGTGAACAGTATGTGCAAAGGCCTGGAAGTAGAGAAGAGGTTGGGGCCTGAGACCAGTGGAGCTGGAGGGAACAATTTTAGGAAGAGTGTGGAGTGATGGGCTGGTAGACAGGCTAACATTAGTGCCTGCAGGGCCTCGCAGGCAGCTACAGAAGGGTTAAACAAAAGATCAACATAATTCAGTTTTTAATTTTAAGAAGATCGGTTTGCTTTCTATGGGTAACAGGGATGGGAGAGCAGTAGGTAGGGCAAGACAATTGAAGAGGTTAATGTAGTGCTTCAGCGCTGAAATGATGGTGGTCGGAAAGATGAAGAAAAGGTGGGCACAAGATAAATTTAGAAAGTAGTAGACTAACTGATGTGGGGAATGAAGGACTGAGGGGTTAAGGATGATGCCTGCTTTCTCAGCCAAAGAACTGGGTATAAAGTGGAGCTATTTATTCTCTCGTATCTTCTACCTTTAATCCAATTTTCATGCCATATTAACAAAGTAATCTCCCAAATGAAGTTTAATCCCATAACTTGCTGCTTAAAACCTTTCATGGTTCTCCAGGACTGACAGGATAAAGATAACTATGCTCCCTGTGATAAATAAAGGCCCTTCTAGCAAGCTCCAAGCTAGCATTCCAGTTATGGCTCATATTTATTCTCCTATGCATCAGCCACGCAGAATTAATTGTCATCCTCCAAATATTCCACCAGGTCACATTCTCCTGTGTTTCTGTAAATGTCAACCAAAACTACTTTAGAATATAAAAAAGAGGAAAATCATAATAAATGTTAAAAGCTCACAAAGGACATCATGCATAGTTTATTACATAATCGAATTCCATGTAAAACAACTAGTCCATTTTTAATAAAGACATACCAGTAATTAATTTCTTAGTACCATTACACCTAATTATTCTTTTTTTTTTGTTCCATCTACACATCAACTTCTGTTCAAAATCTCCCTCATTAACTCTTCATTTTTAATCCTTCACTTTCACTTCACTTGTATTTTTTTTCTGTTTTCCAATGTTTTCTGTTTTTCTGTTTTCTGTTTTTTTCTGTTTTCCAATGTTTTTAAACTTAGCTCCATTGATGAATTTTGAGAAAACTGGTTGCTAGAGCATTCAATTTTTGTTTCTGATTTAATCTTGACACAAAGCAATGAAGAAGCAATTGGCAACCTAG